CACAAAACATTAAAAAAAAAGGTAAGAACGGTAAGGGGTCCTTTCGAACGCCTCCATCACGGGCTCGTTGTTTTTCTCCATGCATGCTGTGACTGCGCGTGCACGTTCGAGTACCACAAGACGCCGAAGCGTCGTCGGAGGCAGAAATAAATAAAAAGTATATATACTTCACTAAAGTCACTATTAATTCGCTACTTAATTCACTAAAATGTGTCCCGTCGGAAGCTAGTTTGGTAGAGCGATGTACTGTAGACGCCGAGAAACGGAGAGAAAGGAAGTCAGAGTACCGAGCTCTGATCGGAAGTACTCGTCGAACGCCTTCGAATGCGAGAGCCAAAACGCCAGACGCCGGCGTTCCGCGTTCTAACCTTCTTCGGACGAATGCGGCGAAGACAGAATCAGCTAGCGTTAGGTGTATACCCACTTATCGTTCCAATCAGCACTCGACATTCTGACGTCCCTGCGCGCTCTCGTCTTCTTCTTTCTCTCTCTCTCTCTCTCACTTTCTCGGCGCAGACGAAACGATTGATGTCGTCCGTAGGTTGCTGGATCGATCATCCAGCTGGACGGACGGAAATTTCTGTTTTATAAACTTAGCGGCGACAGCGGCGGTGGTTGGGAGGATCATGTGATTGATGACATGGTGATGACGTCACCGTGAAGTTTTAGCAAAGGACGACACTGCATTTCTCCGGGAGGTACCGTCCCCGATAACAGCTGTAGCTGTAACAATTTTGGCGGCATCGTAGCTAAAATGTAGACTGCAAAAGAAATAGCTACGTGAAGCCAAATATGCATAGGGAAAAGGCCAGCTTTGGGGAACGCGTTCCTGGGCGCACATTTCAATAGAGGAGAAAAAATAAAAATATACAGCAAGCTTGAGCGAACTGTACTGACCATCAGACCCGCTCACCACCAGCGGTGCCTTAAACTTATTAAATGCCCTATCTTTGTTTGTTATTCACGCGCGAAAACGTTTTACACACACACACACACACACACACACACTCTAAGAAAAAAGTTGGCTTCAAGGGACTAACGGCAGCATTTGGTCCTCTGAACTCCCAGTTGCTCCCCGAAAGGACCATCTGGCTCAAGCTAGGTACCGTGCGCAAAAGCTGGGGACTAACTGCGCTCGACTGGGACCAACCGTTAGGCGTGCGCGAGCAAAAGCATCCATTAGTTCCCCTCAGACAGGGTGCATCTGTATGACTTAGTCCCCGAATGTAAACGGAATGTTCGCCAGGAGGACGGATGATATTTCGCTTGTCTTGGGGATCGGCGAGACTCAGCCCAGCACGGCTGAAAGTGTTGACAAAACTCGGACGAAACTGGCGAATTTGTTTAATGTGCCACGAATGTTAAGACATTACATGGTAGAGCTTCACGCGTTGTCTGAATGCGAGTGAACGAATGTGTTGACTCGACTTCACCCAACTATCTCGTCAAAAAGGATCTGTTGACATTCCACAAGTCCCATTTACGTAATTTGCCTTCGCGCAAAAAATGTGCATTTATCCAAACGCAACACCTCCAAATACTAACACTTTTTTTCTTTTTAAAATTAAACTTAACAGTTTGTAGAAGCCACGCTTTTAACACCGGAGTCTCGCAGTCAGAATAAATGGTCACTTCAATCGCTAAAACTGAGCATTCCCACCGGCGATATAAGCAGTCGCGCGATGCGACTAGATCGCATTGCAAAAAAAATTAGATGGTCACACCGGCGTGTGCGATAAGGCCCGCTTCAGACGGAGCAATTTCACCCAGCAATTTGACGTCGCAACACCAGCAACACCGGCCGCCCGCGTTCACACGCAGCAACCGAATTGCTCCGACTTGCCATCATCATCATTAAATTTGATTCTTCTTTCACTATTTAGACGCCCAGCTACGCGCTAAAAACGCGTTCTTATATATCTTTGAACGGCGTTGAGAATACTAAGTCATTTTTCTGAAACTGTTTATTTCCGAAAACGATCCATTCCAAACCAGAACTAAGTCTTTAGCTGTCATCATCACCACCAAAGGGGTGTCACGTGAAAATATCGCGTCTCTGATTGGCTGCAGCCGCTTCAACGGTCTTCGAATTGCTCCGAGTTGCTCGCTTGTTCGAGCCGGACCCGATCTCAGCAATTCACGTCGATCTAGGGAAAGCTAGGGAACAACCCGCCAGCAACCTCAAAATTGCTGGAAAAGTTGCCCCGTCTGAAGCGGGCCTAAGCGAGTCCAACGCCTTCGTTGGCGAGTCGTTTCTCGAAAACTCTCGCTCCAAACGCCGTTGATTGGCTCAGCCGCTCCGCGACTACATCGCATCGCAAAAAAGTCGGGATGAGTAGCGACTGCTCAAATCGCGTCGCTTTTTGCCCGCGATGGTCGCTTTTGCGATGAAAGTTATCGCGCGACTAGATCGCATCACCGGTGGGAACGCGCCTCAGCGTCTGCGTGACAAACCTTTCTGGGTAGTCCAATGTCGAACTCAAAATCCGCAACGACACACTTGATGCACAGCACGTTCCACTTAAAGAGCACATTCAGGGGCAGTATTCAGACGCCTTCATGCCATCGTCGTCGCTGTTTCCAGAACAATCCAGATGAACAACGAAGAACGAACCACGCCCGGAACGTCGCACCTGGCAGCACCCTACTAATACAAAACAAATGCAAACTAAAAAAAAAAAAGCCACTCGAGAAAGCTGAAAATGCTTAAGAGAGAGAGAGAAAAGAAAGAAAAAAAAAAGGGTTTGCTTGTAAGTCACTCGACCGGCGTGTTGAAAATGGCGACCTTCTCCCGTCCTTGGAGCTCTTCGGTGTCCTTGTGTCGTGTGTAGTGGGAGCGGGAAAAGAGATTATCTTCGGCGCGCACTGCCCCCTCCCCCCCATCCCCTACCCTGCATTCTTTGCTCCGAGTCCTTGTACACGGGGGGGGGGGGGGGGGGGGGGGCGTTACTTGGGCAGATGGGGTCCGTCGGGAAAATGGGAAGTGTCTTTGTTTGAAAAGAACCTGTTTTTAGTAAGTTGAAAGTCGACATACAGCCTTCGTCGGAGGCTGGTCGCCTTGTGTCGTCTCCGATCATGGCGGGATCCGGTTTGGATTCGCGGTACTGAAGCACTGCACTTGATCTGTTCTGAAGTCACAAGTCAAGGGAACTCGATTAAGGTATGTCGAAGTGATTCATTTTATGGTGTATTTATTAACTGCGGCTTCAGCAAGTGTTTCATTTTGAGTGCGTTCTCTAGCTTGCAAAGCGCGCGCCATGCTCTATTCTTTTTGGCACCATGGTTGCTGATTTTGTTATGCAGCACAGAGATCTCATATTCAATCGTATCGAGGGAAACGCCAGTTCTACCTATGGCTTATTTTTTTTTTTGTCTGTGTTTCGCAGAGCCTGGCAGGATCGCTTGACCATAAACGCCTGTCCACACATGCAGCGGAGCGCTACAGGCATAGCGCTGACCTTGCGCTAAGCCCGTGCTGACGGGATCGGTCACCAGCTTTGTATCGCACCGACAAAACTCTTGCTCATGGCAGACGAAAAGTAGCTCATGACACGTGAGCAGCGCTACATCAGCGCTTCGCTGCGTGTGAGAACCGGCATTAATGGAAATATTTATTCGATTGTACACTAGACTTTCGCGTTGATGGCGGGAGATCGTGCCGTCACTTTGAAGCATAGTTCGAGCACGCACGCGCTGGGTCTGTAATTCGCAGCAAACGGTCTACTAAAATCTAATATTGCGCTGGTCTGCTGTCAACAGATCGCATGTTAGATGCGAACCATTGTATCACTTATGCAGCCTATTTGTTAATTTATTCTGCGTGTGTTATAACTTATATATCATATATTTGTCAAGCGATTGGGCATTTACGCTGCCCTGTTACTAATAACCCAAATTCCTCGCAAACAGGCAAGAAGCTGCCGGTGCCACAATAAACGGTGCTGGGACCACGACCGGCTTGGACAGACGTCCCAGTGTCCAAGCCATCGTCGACGCAAGTGCACTCTTCGGAATTTGGCCTTATCGTGGATTCTACCGCCCAGGAACTTCGACTTCAGTCATCCTTGAATGCGATGTGTATCTACGAGGCAATAAAGCTACGTTTAACCTGAACTCCACAATTTCGTTTCGGAGATGTGTGGCTCGGGACCAAATGTAAAGGATAAACCTTTAGTCCCAGAAGCCTAAATCCAAGAGCGCAACGTTTAGACCCAGGGGTCCAAGTGCAAGGGCCTAACAGTTAGTCCTCGGGGTTCATTTGAAACGGAGTAACAGTTAGTCCCAGGGGTCCAAGCGCAAGGGTCTAACAGTTCGTCTTCGAGGTTCAATTGAAACGGTGTAACAGTTGGTCCCAAAGGACCAACTGTAAGGGCCTAACAGCTAGTCCTCGAGGTGTAACTGAAAGGGTGCAACAGTTGCTCCCGTTACAGTTGCTCCCCTAGGGCACTAATGGTGGTGGCAGCGCATTTGGTCCCCCGAGGGACTAAGTCGCGCTCCCTTTTTTCTTAAAGTGCACGCACGCGCGCACGCGCGCACGCGCGCACGCACGCAGGCGCACACACAGACACAAAGCAAATTTTAAAAAAAATAACCCAAGCAATAGAAACCGGAGATTGTTCGCAGTTAGATCAAACGAAAAATCACAAAGGAAAGTCAAAAATGTACTCGGGAGCAGGAAGCCTGAAGAAAGAGCTCTCCGAAATTAGACTAGCGCGTTTTTATGGTTCCCGTTGAGGCGCGTCGTCCGCCTAGATCTCATGGGTCTCTCCTGAAGATATAATAAATTAACACCTCTCACCGTTCCGGTCCTGCCAATACCATCATCGACCAAGTGAGCGGCCCGGAAACCTACTTTTTGGACGTTCTTCATCTCCGAGTGTGGCCTCGCCGCACTAAGCCCACCGAATCTCAGAGCTCTTGGAATGAGAGCCACCTCCGCGCCGGCAGCGCTCCATTTTCGCAGCGCCGCAGCGAGCGTCCCGGCCTGAACTACAACCACGATGGCTTCGTCAACGCCAGAAACCTCCCTAACTGACATGGAAACTACCACGGCAGAAGATTCCACCAATACCCGTAGCGACGGCTGGTTCACAGCCTACTACCGCGGGCACAAGTTGAGAGCGATTTCAACCGCTGAAGTGGATCTCACCACCGGCAATCCCCTACAGCCCAGCCCACCGATACCCCGTCCACAGAAAAAACCTCAGCGCCTACCCCCGCTGCCGAGGGGAGAATTCAAAGTCGTCATGCGCCCGCGAGACGGCCTCAACCTCTCCAATTGGAAACCGTACCAGGTTGCCCAACACATCAGCACGGAGGCTAAGATCACCATCGAGGAACTACACGCTGCAACCAAACTCCAACTCAATCACGACCGCAACATCGTGATAGTAAGCACGGCCCACATAGAGGTCGTTCAAGCCATCACCCAGATCCACCACCTACGACTTGGCGGGAAGGACTACCCAACATACACGTACGTGGCCTCCCCGGACAACTCCATCAAAGGGGTAGTCCACGACATCGAACCGGGGTCCAGCCCCGAAAAACTCCTCCATCACCTAGAGGCCCCAGGATACAGGATCCTGCATGCCCGTCTACTGGGCAACACTGGCACGGCCCTCGTCACGTTTGAGGGACGCAAAATCCCCCCGTACGTCCAGTACCAGAGCGCGCTTCAGCGCTGCTTCCCCTACCGGCCCATCAGACAGGTTTGCACTAAATGTCTGGTGGCGGGGCATCGGGCCGACGTCTGCCCCACGCCGCACATAAAAATATGCCTCAAGTGTGCAGTACCCAACCCCCCAACCGACCATGTGTGCGCCCCGAAGTGCACCCAGTGCCACGGCGACCATCCCACCAATGATACAAGCTGTCCGCAGCGGTTTGCCAAACCCCGAGCAACTCAGCGCGTCAGCCGCCCAAGTAGGAGGGGAGGACACGGCAACACAGGCCGTGACCGCAGCAACAGCAGGCGACAACAGAACCAGACCCGCTCCCAATCCCGCCCGGCCTCTCGCACAAATTCCCGTCCTGGCCAGCAACCTCGGGGAAACCTGCCCGGGCCCAAACAGACACCGGCGGGAGCATCCGCCAAGCAGGAAGCCACCAGTGGCCAGGCTCTTCAATCGGACAACTCCCGAACGGAGCCCTACACCGACACGCAGCAGGTGAGCTGGGCGACGCGGCTCACCGGGTCTCAGGCCTTGCCCCCAACCACCAACCCATTACCCCCCCTTCCCGCGGCACTCACAACAATCCCCCTAGCTGATGCGCGGCAAGAGAGGGTAGAAAATCTCCTCCTCCAAATCATGGAGCGCCTCACTCGCATGGAGGAGCGCATTACTGCGCAGGAGCGGCGAGACACTGATCCTGCTGCCCCCGTTACTACGAGTATCCCTTCCGCAGAAACAATCTGCCACACCCTTAAAGAGGTTACAGATAACATCCGCGCCCACAACCAAAAATTCGACCAAATCCAGGCCGACATTCATGACTTAAAAGAAGCCAACCGGGATTTCTACACCACCCGCAAAAATAGGCGGATAGAAACACGCTGCCAACCATACCCCCCACTATCCCTGCCTCACGATGACGGCACGACGCCCACCGAGTTGTAACCCAACTCGGGTGTGGCAATGGAACTGTCGAGGGTACCGCAGGAAACGCGCTGCTCTTGCGCAGCACATTGCCCATCAGAAATTCCCTCCAGAAGTGCTTGCCCTGCAGGAAACTGGTATCATCCCCACCCTAGCAGGCTACCAAGCCTTTACCTCCCCAGACCATCCGCAGGTGGCCACGCTAATTGCTAACCACATCACGGCTAAGCAACACACCATTGCGGGGACCTCAATTGGACACGTTCTAGTTGAACTCCTCCCCACGCGCAGGCATTCCCCCAGTCTTTTCGTACTTAATATATACAGCCCTCCCAGTCACCGTAAAGACGCATTTGAACGCATATTCTCGAGTGCTTTAACCTTATCCCAACAAAATCTTCTCATTGTTGGCGATTTCAACGCCCCACATCAGGCTTGGGGCTATCCCAAGGCCACGGCCAAGGGAAATCGGCTATACGAAACGATATGTCAACATCAGCTCACCACCCTTACCGATCCCTCTTGCCCGACGCGAACAGGCAACAGCATCACAAGGGACACTTGTCCCGATCTCGCCTTCGTAAAATTCACCCCTCACGCGGAATGGACGAACACAGAGGAAACCCTCGGGAGTGATCATTCCATAATTGAAATTGAAATCGCTCTCAATTCGCAAAGAAAAGCCCTTCGGAAGCAGGCGCTTACTGACTGGGACGCCTTCCGAAAAGCGCGAAAGGACAAAAACTCCCCCTCACCTCCAGACTTCGAATCTTGGCTCCAGCAACTATGCGTGGACGCTAAAGAACACACAAAATTACTTACCCTCACCCCAGATACCCCAGCAGTAGATCCATACCTTCTCCATCTCTGGGAGGCCAGGCGAGGCCTCCTTAAACGATGGCGCCGCCAAAGGCTTAACCGCAAACTTAAATTAAAAATTGCTACACTGACAGAGGAGGCGTTCCAATATGCCTCCAAATTAGCGCAATCCAACTGGCACCAGGTGTGTGACAGGTTTCAGGGCACGTTGAGCACCGCGCGCACGTGGTCCTTCCTGCGGCACCTGCTCGATCCCACCAAAGGCAAACGGCACTCAAGCCAGATGCTCCGTAAAATAATCCACGATCACCCCGGCACGAACGCTGATATTCTTCGGGACCTCACCGAGAGATACATTGGCCCAGCGATCAACACAGACTACCCCAACTACAGGGGGTCCGCCAATCCCGACCTGGACAGACCTTTCACGACAACGGAGATCACCCATGCTGTGCTTACCCTCACGAGAAACACGGCCCCTGGTAAAGATGGAATCCAGAACCGCCTCCTTCGCAACCTCGATCCTGACTCTCTTGAAGACCTCACCACGTACTTCAACCAGATCTGGGAAACCCACAAACTCCCGGAAGACTGGAAACATGCTGAGATTGTTCTAATCCCAAAGCCCGGCAAACCACCCAGCCTGAACAACCTACGGCCTATCTCCCTTACATCATGTCTCGGGAAACTGTTCGAGCACGTTGTGCTTAACCGTCTACAGCCCTTCCTCGAAGACACAGAAGCCTTCCCACACACCATGTTTGGATTCAGAGCCCACCTGTCCGCTCAAGACGTGCTTCTACAACTCAAAGAAGACCTCATAGATAATATATCCTCCTGCAGCACCCAAGCTCTCCTCGCTCTAGACATTAAAGGAGCTTTCGATAACGTCAGCCACACCCTAATTCTTCAGAACCTAGCCTCCACAGACTGCGGAGAGAAGAGTTACAACTACATATGTAACTTCCTTCGCAACCGCACAGCGACCATTGGCATAGATTCCATCCGAACGGACCCTCTACCCGTCCCCAACAAGGGCACCCCACAGGGCTCCGTTCTCTCCCCCACACTGTTCAATCTGGCCATGCGCAAGCTGCCCGAACAGTTGGAGGAAATCCCGCACATCAGACACACCCTATACGCAGACGATCTCACCATTTGGACCACCTCGGGGTCGGAGGGCTCCAAACAAGACGCACTACAAACCGCGGTAGACACCGTCCAACGATATCTTACTTCGGGCAACTTGCAATGCTCGGCCGAGAAATCAGAGCTACTCCTCCTGCATCGCCGAAACAAGCGGCACCCCGACCAGAATAGCAATATCGAACTCTACCTCGATGGCAGCATCCCCATCCCGACGGTGCCAAGGCTCCGGGTACTTGGCCTCCATCTGCAGGCAGACGGTAGGGCAAACTACACCATACAAACCCTCCAAAAAACAGTCACCCAAATCATGCGCATGGTGGGACGCATCACAAACCGCAAACACGGGCTCAAGGAGACCGACGTGATCCAGCTCACCCAGGCTCTCATCACCAGCCGCATCACCTATTCCATCCCATACCTCAACTTAAACCAGGGTGAGAAGAACAGAATAAATATCCTTATCCGCAAAGCCTTCAAGATTGCTCTGGGCCTGCCACTTTACGCCGCCACAGATAAGCTCCTAGCCATGGGCGTACATAACACCCTTCAAGAGCTCATACAGGCACACCTAGCCAGCCAGCAAGAACGGCTGGCCCTCACCCCCACCGGCCGCACAGTCCTCCATAACTTACACTTCCCGATACCCAGCTCGGTGCGGAACACGGTTCGCCTACCAACGGCCATACGAGACCACATTCAAGTGGCCCCGATCCCCAAGAACATGCATCCCATCCTTCACTCCGGCCGCCGCATTGCCCGAGCTCGGGCCCTCCAACACAAATATAGCAGCAAGGCAGACACCCGTTTTACTGACGCTGCCATGTACTCGGATCAACCAGCGGCCGCAGTCAGCGTGATAGACCACGATCTAAAGACGGTAGTTACGGCCTCCATCCGCACTATCAATCCAGTGGAGGCAGAAGAAACGGCCATCGCCCTGGCAATCGCCTCCGGCAAGGAATACCTCAATATCCTCTCCGATTCCCAAACCGCCCTGCGACGATTCCGAGCGGGCAGGATCTCACCATGCGCTCTGCGCATCTTAACAGACCTCAAAACCCCGCTTCCAGAAACGACGCTTATCTGGACTCCTGGCCATGAATCTGTAGATGGAAATCGGCAAGCCCATGCCGTAGCCCGAGCCTGTACACACCGGGTGCCACAAACAGAGGACCACAACACAATTCTCAAATTTATTCCCGTAACCAACCAATACTCTGAAATCCTAATTCATCAACGAGGCGAGAGATTTAGATACCCCCCTCCACATCGGAGCCTAACGCAAGAAGAGGCCGTGATCTGGCACCAACTCCAATCCCACACCTACAGACACCTCGCCCTCCTCCACAAGTTTTATCCCACTATGTACCCTGCTAGCTGCCCACATTGCTCAGGGTACCCCTCCTTATACCACGTCACGTGGGCCTGCCAATCCCACCCATCCCTTCCCCCCATCTCCTCCCCTTCCCCGGAGACTTGGGAAGCTGCGTTGCTCAGCTCGCACCCGGACGACCAGCGTAGTCTGGTTGGGCGGGCCAAGGCAGCAGCGGCCAGCACTGGAGCCCTGGACTAGGGGCCCCACCCACCTTCGGATATTTCCATATTATAATAAAAGTTTGCATCATCATCATCGTCCGCCTACTCCGCCGGCTTTACTAATTCTCATCGCCTTCCCAACCGGCGGAGCCAAAGTCTCGGGGCCTCACAAACCGCGCATGTGCGCAGAGACGTGAGGGCCCGAGTGGTTCCAGTTGGCGCAGCTCGAAAAAATCTCGCATTCCTCGTCCTCCCATGGTCGGTCCGAGGTGTGGACAGTGTAAAGTTGGCCGAGTGTTTTGAGCGGAGCGCTTTAGTTGGCGTTGCTGGCATGCGACATGCGTGCATGTGCGTGCCACGGCAGCGGTAGCTGCTCCCTCACAGCCGCGGCCGTTCGGATTGTTGTCAGCGTCGACTAAGTCAACCGAGAAATCCTCGTCCTCCTGGACTCTCCGTGCGTCCTCGTCGGGCTCGCGACAGCATCATCGCATTTCCGTGGGTACTTCTCATCTCCTATGGCCTTGAATTGATGGCCGAAGACGTGCCGCGTTTGGACGTTGTGTCGTCCAGAAACGGTGCTTGAACAGTCGTCGAAGGACCGTTGGTAACCACAACCGTTAACCTTCGCGCGAACGCCAATTTTCTTTTCTTTCTCGCTTTTTATTACATTGACTTTAGCCCCCTTTGGTAATTGTGATGTTTGCCAGACTCGTGCATAAAATGTGTACAAAGGTAAGATTCACCAGAGAATTTATTCACATATTAACATCCCAAGTCTGAGCCAAAAATCTTTAAAAAGAAATAGAAACGGTGCACCTCATATTCGTGCTCTCTAAAGACTGAGCCATTGACCTCAGCTAAAGCTCCATTTGCATGTGACCATCCGTTCAGTAATAGCTTATTTGCGGTTCAAGTATTCTTCATGTGAAGCTATTTTTATTTTTGCTGGTGTTGGGTCAGCCTGTTCGTTCATGGATATTTCGAAGGTATTTATCACTTCAGCCTTTCACATCCCCCGTGAGTCGTTGTCATTCTGGAAAGATCACATGGTGGCATTGTGACGGAGCATCATTCAAAAGCTTGAAAAGAAAATATGGTGTTTATCAAATATAAACCATTATCGCTTTCTGAAGTTTCCAGCTCCACTGGCATGACAGAGCTGATAAAACATACTGTCATGTTTAAAGGGACCATGAAATGATTTTAAAATCGAGTTTCATCCACCGCACGTCGTAAAAGGTGTGAAAAGAAACACAAAAACACAAAAATAGGGAGCCCAAAAAAATTATTTGCTATAGAACTTTTAAAAGAAAACTGGACTCTTTTGCGCCTTCCTTCCTTCGCCTGTTCACTACGATGCATACGCAGAATCGGTGCACGTCAGCCGAATCCACATCGCCTATTGGGTAAGAGCCTACCTCACCAGCACCGCGATCGTAAACAATAAATAGCCGGCGAATGTTTCCTAAAAGTTTTGTTAAATAATATTCAGATCCACATTTTGTAGCATAATTAGAGATGTGTGGCGAAAATTGCCAAATTTGATAATGCTGAGAGCCAAGCGCCATCTATCGTGTGGTAAACGAAGAAACTACTGCGCGTGCGCAGTAGGGCAGGGCCGCCAGTTACTTGGGTGACGGCGACCGACGAACATTTATTTTCTTTGTTTTCCTTCCTCTCAAAACTCTGACTGACTGAACGTTTATTTTTCTACGTGTTCTTCCCGCGCGTGCCGACTTCAAGCAGCAAGAAAACAGTACTGGAAACAGACCACGACGAACAAGAACGCTGGATTCACCGACTCCGACGAAGCGTATAGGCCTAGCAGGCATTCCGACTCGGCGCTGCGTTGCTTCGTCGCAAGACCGTCTGCCTACGACCGGCTGGCGTGCTAAATGGAATATGCCCGCGCGACCCTTGTGGACCCTTCCCGTATTATAGTTTGATCACTGACCTCAATTCTAGATTAAGAGGTGAGGAGGTCAATCTCTTCCCCTTGTTTTCCGAGGCAGTGTTGACGAACACTCGTCGAAAAGGGACTCTCGTCGATTCTATCTTCTTGTTTTGTGTGATATAGAGCTGAAATAAACGCCGTATGGATTGCCTTCGTAACACGGTATGTACACTTTGTTATTGGTATGCCATTTTTATTCTGACAGACTGCACGTCACTGTCGACCCCGGTCCAACCTTTCTTTGCCGAGTGTCGCGTCAGTATCGAGTTGCAATCGTAAAAGAACGGTCCCGAAGCGCTTACCAACAGCGCGAATACAAGACTTCCATCAAGCGCGCGCGTCCGCTCCCAGTGTAAACAGGTATTTACGTGGCTCTTGCTGACACTCGTAGTTCAAACGTATCTTTTTTAACGTCGGCTCGCTCCTGCATCTCCGAGGCCGCGAAAAACGCCATCTACGTCGCTTTGCAAACGACTGACACGGGCCGGCCCTTCTGCCAACAATGACGGGGTGGTGACAAGACTCGCTGCACTTCCCAACAGGCATACCGGCGTATGGGACTAGTCCCATGCTGTCGCTGTAGCGCAACATATCTCATTGAATTTCGCTCAGCTGCGATGCGGCGATGAGAGGCGCCGATTCAGGAAATGCGTCGGTGACATCAGCGCAGTAAAACCTACCGGCGCACCCCAACTCGTTGCCGCTAACACTCCCATTCTCCTACTGCCGAGAGAACTTCCGGTTCCGGAAACGGTCTACGTCACGGCTTCTTTTGCGGTCAGTTGGAGAGAATGAAAAAGTCGATATTTCAATAATTTTTTGTGTAAAAGTTAATAAACCGAGACGAAAACGGATGCCTGTTCGGCATTCAGTGAACATTGACGGTTTAATGTAAAAGTTATCTGGAAAAAGTAAAAAGGTCATTTCATGGTCCCTTTAACTAAATTAAAACGCTTTCCTATTCATCCGTAGCGCACAAAATCAGCAGTGAAAATCATTCCATGTGTTGACAGTCAAACAGTGAAACGTTCCAGAGTGTTCAATGTGCTCTGAGAACAGAATGTACATGATGAAGTGTCAGCCAGGTGTTGTCCGACTTAAACGAAGAAAAACCCTTTAATTCAGTTGACGCTGTGATGTGGACAAAATGCACGAGAGGAGCAATTTACGAGCGGTCAAAATAATTCGGCCGATCGAAGTGGACTGAATAATTAATTAAGCTTTTACCATTTGCCCGTCCAAGCATGCTGTCCCTTGTCGCCTACTTGCAGGGGTCACCGTATAACAAACATTCACTCGAGACATTATGCTACCTGAGTCAGAGACAAATAAAGAATGCAGCAGAAGCTTCGCCTCCAGCGCGAGTTTCGACGTTTTTTGAGCTTCAAAGGTGCACGCTGTGCCAAAGTCGGAGGGAAGTCACAGAAGTTACGTCAAGAGGCGGAAATTTTAGTGCGTCCTTAATCGGTGACTGACTGTTTGCAGAGTTATCTTACTTTAAAGATATCACTGCAGTTATTAAGCTACCTCTGCTTCAGGGGCCATTCTTGGTCTCAGAGCCTTGCTTCAATATCCTCTTGCTCCAATATTTCGGAAGGCTATTAGCATTGCAGGCTCAGTTTTCTTGTCTTTGGCTCTGAGGAGAAGGTGCATAAAGTCGGAAAAAAAAACTGTAGATTGGATTTTAATGTCGAGTATGTACCTACGGAGTAATTTTTTGTTGTTGTTGTTTCGGTGGGAAACGTTCAAAAAATAGTCAAACAATCAATGGAAGAGAGCCAGTCAAATGCCAGTGAGGAATGCCGCAAACGCACAAATACGGGAACCCGAAAGAACAGTTTCACATGATTGTTCTCGAAAAATAAACCATACTTGGACTTTTCAAGTACAGCAATAACAAATATGCTTTGAACGAAACCACATTTGCTGTGTACACGAGTAGTAAGTACCTTCGACTTTCAAAGTTACCGTGGAACTTTTTTTTTGTTTGAGGGGGGGGGGGGGGGGGGGGTAATTATTGCCAAATGTTCGGTTTAAGCTTCGCACATCGGATTCAACTTTGAAGCAGTGGCTGAAATCCTGACGTCACTGTTATTTGACCTCAGTTTGAGGGACATTTATCAAGAGAGCGCTCGGAAGGAAAAAGGATTGCTGCCAACAAAAAAATACCCGGCTTCACAACGTTTTATTTTGCCTTTTTCTTCTTTTTTTTTTTTTTTGTTGGGGGGAGGAAGTGCGACGTGTTTTTAAACACCACTTCGTTGTTTAATAATTAAAGATGATACTGATGCCTTCGTCAAAAATCTGGAATTGTTGTGCCATTTTTTTTATCAACTTGCTTTTATTTAAGCCCGCTCGTTTTTTGCGTGGAGCCGCGAATGGGCTTCGTCAGATTCAGAGTTTCAAAATAAATTTATATTCGGTATCAGAAAAACAGATACGCGAACAAAATTTCAGAATAAGCTAGTCAAGTGGGAAAGGCGGGTGTCGGTTCCTTCGCCAACCGAGGGATGCATAGCAAGGAGCTCATTGAGTTTTCTCCGGCGCCGTTTGCATGCATATGAAGTGCTTATGCAGCTAAGGTCCGCGCGTTGCCACTAGAGAAAGAGTGCATTTCAGTGTCCCTCAGTTTCCCATACGCCACAGCTTTGCGACTCTTATACCTTAGACCAAAAACTGCCACCTTGAAAGAAAAGGAAAAAATAACGGCAACCT